AGAGTGTCCCATAAGAGTGCCCGACAAGAGTGTCCTACAAGAGTGTCCCACGAGAGTGTCCTACAAGAGTGTCCCACAAGAGTGCCTTTCAGGAGTGTCCTACAAGAGTGTCCTGTAAGAGTGTTCCACAAGAGTGTCCTACAAGAGTGACCCACAAGAGTATCCTACAAGAGTGTCCCAGAAGAGTGTCCCACAAGAGTGTCCTACAAGAGTGTCATTTGGACATATGTAGCTTTTCGAACGTGTTTGCATTCGGGTTCGTGGGCTCCATCTTGTTTCATACACACAGCTTTGTTTGATCATTTAGCCCATACCCGTATGCTTTGAATGATTTGTCAAGCTGCACGGAGGCTGTTTACATTGCATTTGCTGCCTTGGCGATGCAGTGAGCCCAGGGCGGTTGTTGGTTTGATTCGTTCGCTTCAACGTCTTGGTGTCTTTTTCACAGTTCCAGATCCTAACAGCTCGCAGCTCGCATTTGGTGGGTCGGTAGCATGTGTTGGGCATTCGCTAGACAGCTCGGTGGAACAATAGACCAATGACTGCTGGGTCTCAAGGCTGCCCCCTGGGTCCGATCGCTCCGTGCGCTTGGATGTGCAGCGGTTTATATAGGGTTCGATCCTAAACCATTGTTGGCTCACGCGCATTGTTGTGGATGATCGGTCTTTTTTGCTCTCAGTCTTGCAATGGCCTTCTGCGTCAAGTCTTGCGCGCTGGGAAGACGTTAGCCGCTTTGGTTGGACGTTCGTGAGAGTCCAAGGAAGCAGCAGTAGCTGACGTCGTCCCACGTCTACCACGGTCGCAAGGCTTTGTCATCCAAGTTCGTCAGGTCTGACGTTCACCATTCTGGGGGTGTCGGCTGCTTGGAGAAGACCTACCATATCCTACCATCAACCGCCATCAACGGGTCGTGTCGGCTGGTTCTTTCTCCCCAGTCCTCGTAGGTCCCACGCCCTGAGCAAGATTCTGTATGGGTGGGTCACGCGCTTGCCTCCCATGGCTAAGCTTTGGTCTCTCTGGTCTGCCATTCGGCGCGTTCAAGGTGTCATGATGGCTGCCAACAGGTTTTTGCGCGCCATGATCTGGGGTCGTGCTGCGCACCCCTTCTGTCTTATTGGCTCACGTCTTCTTACTATGGTTTCCAAACTTCGTGCTAAAGGTCTTCCTTGGGCTGCTAACGCCCCTCGTGGCAGTCTTCTGGGTACGCTTCAAGCTTGGTTCAAAGCTTGTGGGTGCTATAGTGTTGGGCCTTGGTCTTGGTCTGCGGGTCTTGTTCAAACGGTGGTTGATTTGGATGACCCTTTGGGCCTTGCTTCTCATCCTGCGTGAGTGTTTCCGCTTGTTTATGTGGAGAAGTTTCCTCAAATCCAAACGGCATGAAGTGGCCGAATTGTCATACGTGAGTTGTGAACGCCTCGTCATGTCCGCCGAACGGGATCGAATTCGGGATTTGTCGTTTCAATATCCTGCCGCTCGGGGGGTGGCTTGTGGGGCCATGTTGAGCCCTGCTTCTATGGGTAAGGTTGGTGACCCGAAATTTTCCAGTTCTTGCATCTGGCCTGGATGTTCGGTTCAGTGTGCGTGTTTTTGCACACATTGCTTGGGAATGTCAACATAGATCCAAATTGACTCAAATTGGTGGCTCGTCCCCATAACCCTTTGGATACTAGATTCGGATGGGGCTCCCGTGAAACCCTTACCTGGCTTGCTGAGGTGCAGAAACAGATTTGGGTCACTAGACATGGTGATCCAGAACTAAGGTCGGTCGTCTAACTTTTGTTTGGTTGGGGATGGTGCTGCGGCTGGCGCCGTTTTGCGGGTTCTCGTGGTGCGCGCCACATTTGGGTTGCGTGCATTTGGGTTGCGCCGCAATCGCTGCAAAATCCTAAGGCTGAATGTCATCACGGGCGTGTTCGTCGAGTCAGCGATGGCCTCCGCACGGGACTGCTGAGAGAACAGCCATGAGTCGAAACCTCCCTCTCCAAAGCATGGTAGGTTGACACACCCTTACAGAGGCATCGGTTCATTTGACCCGGGGTGAAACTACAGGGTCTCCGGGTGCCATGACCCACAGTCACGACATGCGACCCCCCCCCACGTCGCGTGACCGGTCGCAAAAAACAGGAGGAAAATACCGTCACCGTGGTGCCGGACCAAGCTTTCAAGCGGAACAGGATAGATACCGTTAGATGCCTGATGTTGAATTGGATCAAGCTCATCCAATCTGATAGATCGTGATCGATCCGAGAAGTAGAAGAAGTCGGGTACTACCAGGTGAGTCGCATGAGGGAGATTGTGCACCAGATGAAGATTGGCGAGTCCGACCCTGAGCGCTCGGAGCATATCGGAGCTGTTTTTCATGTCGAAACGCCACGCGATCGAACCTTCTTCGCCTCGCCTCCGGGCATCTTCACTCCACTGAGTTCGGGCCAGATGACATGGGAACAATTCGAAGGGCAGCTGGACAATCCCGTCATGGAGGCTGGGCGAAACAGGATGGCTAAGACTGGCACAAAGACCGCGCTTGGTCGACTGGCGCATATGCACCAGCTCAGCGCCTCAAAGCTGCCCTTGGACCTTCCCCGCCCCCCCCCGGCAGCCACTCTGCCTCCGCCTCCAGGGGGACCGCGAGAGGGGTCCAACCGCCGCCCACCGCCCACCGCCAACCAGGAAGAACGCCGACGATCGTTCGACTCGGGGGTCGCACCGCGGTGGTCGGACGGAGCGACGGCGGAGCGACGGCGGAGCGACGAGGCGTACTTCAAATCGATTGACCTCAGCGTCACGGAGGCCCGGAGCCGGCGCCTTGGTGCGAGACGAGACGGGGACGAACGGGGCGTGCGTGACAAGGTGTGACATCAGCGAGGCAAACGATTAAGTACGGTACTGCATGGTACTGCATGTTTCCCACCCGAGAGGATTTCTTGGGCTCAGATGGCTCAGCTGAAAAGTTTAGAGTGCCATGAGACGTGGTGGATGTTGGACAAGCATGGAAAAGCTCTGTGCATCTTTGTGCAGTGATTAATATCATGATTTAAGCAACTGCACTTTGGAACTGTCCTTTTCAACCCGTTCAACCCACACATGGTTTGCGCAATTTCCGCGACTGGACCTTGCAGAGCGCAATGGTTCACGTGACCACATGGAAGCTTCCGCGCTTGTAGTATGGCTTCATGGTTTGCCGCTCGTTTAAATTTTGAACATGATTCTGTTGCATGAATGCTACTTTGCACATTCAGAATCGGCCAGAATCGGGATGTTGCCCACAGGCAATCATGCAGTTCGCACATCCAGCAGCTGCTTGTTGCCACCAGGACTGACAGGAAAATTGCAGCGGAAAGAGGGGCATTAATCGCATTAATGACTTATCATACTTGTGCAATGTTGTCAAACAGTACTACTGTACTACTGTAGACTGACACTGAAATGTCGAAAAACTGGAGAAGAATGGCTTCATGACTTCATGACAGTTCTTTCCAAAGCTTCCTTTATTTGGGTTAGGTGCCAGATTGCCTGCATTTGCACCAGGAGTCGCCACCATTTCCCCTGGGTCAAATGGCTACTGCCAGACTCTGCATTTTGCCTGAAATAACAAACAACACGAGCAGAGGTTGGAGGATGCCAGAAAATCCGATGTCCTTGTCTCATCTCTATTTGCTATTTGTGTTGATATCCCCCATTGCAAAATCATATTTGCACTCAAAGCAGTCAGTTTAAGGATGTTGCTTTGACTCTAGGAGCTGGGGTGAAGCACAGTGTTTGCTGAGTACAGATTTCGAAGCTGCAAAGGACATTGCCACATTGACAGTTCTTCCTCACAAAAAGCTGAAGTGTGCCTTAGCAGAAACTGGTTGATGTGACTGCGATGTCGGATTCGCAAGGTTCTTGGTGTTCGTCAGGCTGGTTTGACTTGCCCCGCCAACCTGTAGTTGATGGTGAACATCATCAGGGTATGCAGGAGGCAGTGGACCGCAACTTGGGTCCAATGGCTTACGCTTCGTGCACAGAGATGCGGTGCGAAGCCTTCGAAGAAGCCGCCAACCTGTAGATGACTCTGTCAAACCAAACCTTCTTGGCCACAAAAAAGAAACGCACTCATCAGGCATCCACCGCCTGCTGTTTGCAGCACTGGAACAAGGTCTGACGACTGGGGTTCGTTTACATGTGAACATGTTTGCCTTGCAGGATGACATGTTGTGCGTTGAGAATGCATCTTTTTTTGAATTCTTCAGCATTTGTGGCGCTTCTTCTGTGCCAGGATTTGCTCCGGAGCGCATCGTCCTTTGTGGTTTCAGCCAAGGCTTGGTGACTTGCGAGCAGCACCTATCAATTTATCGCCGGGGGTGCAAATAGGGCTCCCCTTCCACGTTGGATTGGCAACAATCACGGGCCTTCTGGGTGGAGTTAAGCTTTCTGCATCATGTTTTGTGTTTGTTGCAGCCTGTTTAAGCTTGCTCTTCTACAGACCTCAACAATTTGCTTTTTTCCATAAGCCACTTTTAATTGAGGTGCAACCTGACTTCATTCAAGAAAAAAGATCACGGCGTGCAGGGTTTAGCCTGTGCGGATTCTTTTGAATCTACTTGTGCCTGTTTCACTGCGTAGCACGTCCAACGTGCAATCTTTTTCTCAATGTGTGACACCTTTCTTCTCGTGGCGTGACTGGTGGCTCACACATTGCCATGTCAGTTGGTGGCTTAATTTGCCATGTCGCTCGCAGTTCCGAGAAGCGGTGTCCGTGCATTTTTGCGTGGTCCAAATTGGCGCCAGGGGGGACTCTGGCATTGCAGAGTGCGCTGTCTTTTCCACATGCCTTGGCTGGCGTTTGCTCAATCGTCAGCTGCTCAGAACATGTGAGTTCAGCTCCGTCTTCGGTATTGATGTCAATTTGTTCAGCGCCAAGAGCTGCTCGTGAACGAGGCTGGATGGGCATCAGCAGGCTTGATGCCAAGTAAAGCTGAGACTTCTGAGCTCCCAATTTTCATGAGCCACGGACATGACGACCGCATGGTTCCCATTGAAGTGGCCCGCAACAGCTGCAACTGGGCCATTTCAGAAGGGTCAATGGAGCATGCGGACTGTCCGACGACTAGGGTAGTGGCTGAGGCAGCGCCTTGGCAGCTTTGGGCTACAAAAAGGTGAGTTTGATGACCTTCAAAGGATTGAGGCACCAGCTGAGCACTCTGCAATTCAAAGAGATCATGGAGTTTTATCGTCAAGTCATTCCAGAAAGAGTGGAAGGCTTCCGCATTCCTTCTGTAGTGAGCCTTGGCAAGACATAGTCGAGAGGCATCATGCCACACCATGTTTCTAGTCGTTGTAGGCATTGAAGCGAAGCGAACGTGCAGAAACTGCTGTGCAGGACAATCCTTTTGAACCGTGTTCAGCTTTTTTCTTAAGTTTTTGCGGAACTGATTTGTTTGTGAGTATTTTTTACTCCGTGAGAAGGGTTGGCCACATATTGGCACCCAGGACACCCAAGCCGGCTGGATGCATTCTTTGGATGCATGATGCCAGTATTGTGGGAAATCTGGATGAGCATGACTTGGCCACAAGGTCAAATTTGTTTGGTTTTGCCATTGGCTATGGTCAATGATTGGCAGCCATGTGTTTTGCTTTCGTGCTCCGAGAGAAGAGAGATTCCGTGGGGGGGGTGGGTATGCATCGGAAGGAGATTTGTTCCCTTTCAAGTTCTGGTTGTTATATATATATAATGTGTGTATATATATAGAGAGAATTATAGAGAGAGAGAGAGAGACATGTGTGTGTGTGTGTGTAAGCAAGTGTGTATATATATATATATACAATAGAATGCTACATAAATATAATATATATTTATGAGGCTTACGCCTGACAGCCGGGCGCGGCCAAGCAGGGTGAGGGTTTGTGTTCAACGGTTTCGCTCTTGGCC